TCTCTCTCTCTCTCTCTCTCTCTCTCTCTCTCTCTCTCTCTCTCTCTCTCTCTCTCTATCAACAGCAATTTCATATGTTGATATAGTCGGCAGGAAGGGCGCTCCATCGGTGGCTGGTTGAGCTATAAATAGCTCCAAAATATCGAAATCGCTCAGTATATTTAATTTCAGAGTTTCAAAATATGTAAATATTAACAAATGAATTTATGTACGTGAGCGAATACTGGAAACATACTTAGGCCCCTATTATGAGTTGCATTCGATCTTCGACTGTGGTTGAAAGTGCTGACCGAACGAATTTTCAGTTGGTATTATGACGCTCATTCGATGAAGAATAGCGCTATTGTGAATTTCGATTTCTTAGGTTTTTCACAATAGTATATTTTTCACCGCTGAGAAGCTTTGTTTAAAAATCGAGNCCGAACGAATTTTCAGTTGGTATTATGACGCTCATTCGATGAAGAATAGCGCTATTGTGAATTTCGATTTCTTAGGTTTTTCACAATAGTATATTTTTCACCGCTGAGAAGCTTTGTTTAAAAATCGAGCAAACTAAATAGTGTGCTTATGCATATGTATGTAAATTTGTGCAAATTAAAATGAAATAAAAAAGAGAGTTTTTTAAGAGAGTTTAAGTGTAGTCTTTCGAATATATTTTGTCATAAAATATATGTAAGAAATTTGTCTACAGATTTATTATAAACTTCCGACTATCCCAGAGTCTTTTGTGAGCCAAATCTATTTAAAATATTTTAAAACTATAAACAGCTCTACGATTTTGTTCTCAGAGATCGTGCCAACTGAGTATTGGGATTTTCTATCACAAGTAAAATCAGCCTTTCGAGCTTGTGTTTTGTATTCACGACATTAAAACTGCATGAAATTAATAAAATGTGTTTAAAATAAGTGTCTAGCCGCCAAAAAGTAAGGAAACGAATGCAAAATTATACATTTTTCACAATTTTCTAACATTTCGCTACACCATCGAAAGCAAAATTCCCCCTAAATTCCAAATTTGTTCCTATATATTCAAAAATAGTACCAGGAAATGCTCCTCGATAATTTGGGCCCCCCTAACTTTCAAGTTTTTTTCTATNTGTGTTTAAAATTAGTGTCTAGCCGCCAAAAAGTAAGGAAACGAATGCAAAATTATACATTTTTCACAATTTTCTAACATTTCGCTACACCATCGAAAGCAAAATTCCCCCTAAATTCCAAATTTGTTCCTATATATTCAAAAATAGTACCAGGAAATGCTCCTCGATAATTTGGGCCCCCCTAACTTTCAAGTTTTTTTCTATGTATATACTATATAAAAAAAATAATTTGTAAATTTTCATAATTAAAAATGTGAATATGTAGATTATCCGGTTTTGTTTTAAGTTATTCTCGCTAACTTCAAAGTAATTCCAATTAAGAATGGTAAAACCCGGCTGTAGTTGACAATGAGCGAAAATGGATTGAACGGTCAACTAATAGTTAAATTTATAATTCAATTGTTTATTACTTCGTCTTTACGTTTGTGTNCGGCTGTAGTTGACAATGAGCGAAAATGGATTGAACTACTAGTTAAATTTATAATTCAATTGTTTATTACTTCGTCTTTACGTTTGTGTCTTCTAAGTGTACATCGAAAGTTTGTATGAGAGAACCAATCTGAGATTATTGCTAAAACTATAGACCGGTTTGAGGAACAGACGTTTACACGTCTTAAGTAATTACAGCTTAAAACGATGTATACATATTACATAGTATACCAGAGGTTCCCAAACTTATTTTTCTCGTAGACTTGTTTCAAAACTTTACTGGTTTCGGTGGACCATCTGATGCTCATTTCTAACATATTCTCAAAGCTCATCAAAAAATGTGAAGATTAAATATAACGACGTAAATTTGCATCGCGGGTGAGTTCCAAAACTAAATTCGGAGTGCAAAAATAAAAATAAAATATTTTCTTGTATTCTATTTTTAAAATAATGTGATTACATACTTGCAAGTTTTAAAAAATAGAGCCCGTAAAGCCATGAAAGAACTATCTCGCTTTGAGGAGTTATATTTTTTAAGAGCAATAAATAAACTCCTCAACTTTCGGCTCACTTTGCATGTGATAAATAGTTTACTTGTGTTGATGGCATCATTTTTATTTTTATAGCTCCGAGTTTTAAAGTGATGCGAAAAATATTCGTCATCCGCATTTTTTAAACACAAAACCTGAAACAACAAAACTGCAAAGCTTTTTACGCCAAACTTCAAATTCAGAAACTGACAAAAAACAAAACATCGAATCTAGATAAATCGATGATAAACAAACAAGCAAGCAAGAAGCTCAAGGAGTGTTCCACCGTCTCATCCTCTTCAAAACAGGATGGGCAAATGGACTTGTCATATACGCCTTTCACATCCAGGTGTTTGAGCCACGTGAAGTGACCAGTCAGCAGTCCCGTCTTCTTAGTTAGAGGAAAAAACTAGATAGACCTTCTGAGATTGAAGGCAACATGAGTTTTTCCCACCTGCATCCACTCTATGGCTCCCAGTCATTGCTGAGCGAAGTGACCACCCAGTTTCTGATGGTGGCTTCGATGGTCGAAGTGAGGAGTGCTGCTGGTTGCGGATCAGGGAATACCTGGTCTAAGCCACCTGTGGCCAAATGGTCAGATGTCTAATTTCCACGCACTCCCGAGTTGGCCGGCATCCAGAGTAAAGCAAACTCGTTATCTTTACCAACATAATTTAGTCGAGACTTGCATTTGCGAACTAGCACTATACATACGGTGACCATAAATATATTTTGAAAATGCAGGACAATTTTTCAAAAAAATTACCTACATATAATTGCGTAGTATAAAAATAACAAAAATATACTACATACATATATACATTCCTCGTCATTTGAATAGCGCACCCTTTTTTTGATTTTCTACCATACAAAGTATGCTTGCCAAAATTTTTCTATGGAAGAAAATGCGCAGCACCGTCAACAAAAAAAATGTCGCCCCTATGTTTATTTTTTTTTAATTTTCAAAAATTTATTAAATGGGATGTAGACGTAGAATATGCTATATTTTTATAAAAATTTAATGAATANTATGCTATATTTTTATAAATATTTAATGAATTTTAAACATATATCACATTTGCTTCATTGGTATTAATCTTTTAGTAATGAATATTTACAAAATTATAATAAGGCATATTACATATTACTTTACACGAAATATGAACCTCTCCAAAGTAAAGTTGTTAGGCAAACTTTGTGTCGTTGAACACGAAAAAATACCCATGGTTTCAAAGAAGTGTTTTCGAGATTTGTTCGAAAAACGTATTTTTAGTATTTTTTCAGTTATTCCTCAATATCTCATGAAACTACCAACAGTTCGAAAGGTATTGATGGGCTCTTTGCAAAAATATATATTTTTTGTGCAGATTGTGTTCCGTAACATCTACATTTCTCATCAGATTTTCATTTACTGTAAAAAGAAAATGATTGAAATTTCAATTTTTCGATTTTGGTCGCTTGTAGCACTAATCATTTGCATCGAATTCGGCAAAATAATATATTTTTGTAAGAGGACTGTAGGTCGCTTATGTTGATTGGATAATTTTTTGATGAGATATTGACGAATAGGCTCGAAATGTACCAAAAATACGTTTTTCGAAAAAATTACGAAAACGCTTTTTTGAAAGGAAAACTGGCTTGGAAAATATTTTTTTCTTAAGAGATTACCACAAAATTTGTAGAACAGTGTTATCGATATATTTGATGTTTTTATACCCGAGCGCACTTGTGCACAAGGGTATATTAATTTTGTTCACATAACGGTTGTTTGTAACAGCCAAAACGAATCGAGATAGATATAGACAAATGTATACATAAATGATCAGGNCAGTTGTCTCTCTCGCACCGCTCCCGTAGCAGTGGCACCGTGTTGCTTCTTTGCTAATTTACATGGAAACAGGGTAGCTTTGGTGTGAAATAGAAGTACCAGCTTTTGTGCAATATGTTTACTTGTATATGCATATCAAATAAAACACCTCTTTGAGGTAAAATTTTCGAGTGACGAAAGCTGACCTAAATAGAAACACACAATTTATGATATCAATTTCGTGACGAAAATTATACGCA